AAGAATCATAGGAGTCAATTTTTTATTAAAAAAATAAATATTGGCATACAGAATTATACATTTAAATAAGTTAATATTCAGTAATGGCACAATTTTTGCCATTTCCTTTTAGCTTTGCTGGGTGCCTAAAGGTCAGCTTGAAGAGGATATTCTATACAGTATAACAGGGGGAAAAAAGGAAGTGGATTTTACAGGTGTATTTATTCCACTTTTGTTTTCTACATTTTTTTGTGTGGTGACAAATCCTTTGTTAAAAGCTTCTTCCATATTGACCCACTATTTTTATTTCCTCACAAATCTAAAAATGAATTAAAATCCATGGAAAGTAGGGTAGGATTACACAAAAGAACTGCATGAGTCATGGAAAATACATACAATGGTAAGACATGCACTTCTGTCATTTGCATACATTCCAGTGCTTATCATGAAAATAAAAACGTATGGCCACATTGTATAATGTCAAAAAGCTGAAGACAGCACATTACCCATCGCCTCTTTAATAGAATACCCTTCTTTATAAGGAAACTGCCAACACCGCCTATCAAAAGCAGATGGCCAGTGAACAAAATAGTGCTTGTGTTACATGTTTGAAGCTCCACTGATCCATGGCAACATTTTATGGATGTAAGCCAATATAGGAGGTCAAAGAGAAACAGCCCTTAGAAATGTTTTACCGAACAAGCGAGACACTTTTCATTTTTAATTTAAGTTTAATATATAACCAATGAAAAGAAAAAATAAACAGCAAAAAAGACAACCTTCATTGAAACATGCAATGCAAAAAACAAAAACTTTTGATCGTATTCATAGTTTACTACAAATTAAATAGTGTAAGCGTCCCAGTTCATAGACATTATTGCTATTGTACTGAAGAGCAATATTCTCTTCCAAGACCGCATAACCATTAGCCTATTTAATAAATATTGCACTGTGCTAAAAACAAAAAGGCATACTTCTCATGCCTGGAGATTTTTAAAAACATTTCACAAAACAGAAGGTACCCCACTATATTTGAAAGCTTCAACACTACCCCCATTATTTATGAACAAGGCACAACAAATAATGCTGAGATATTGTATCTTTTTGTTTAGTATCTAAGTGTTTTTTTAGAGTTGATGGTATTGCAATATACTATATGATCTAAGATCTTTGTAAATTTAAAAATCAACAACATAGGCTCATTCAGTTACCCAAATATTGTGGAAAGGGCAATGATCCATAGCAACCACTGATCTGACTTCAGTTAGCAGAAAGCCAGTTGACTGCAATGGGTTAGTGCACTTGTGTTCTATACAATAATAAAAGGCAGCCATTTTGGAGAAGCTCACTAAATCAGAAAACATGACACCAGTTGAACTAAAATCGCACATGGAGATCCTACTTTATATTTTTGTCATGGACCACTTCACACTCATTTCACAATAACCTGATGACACATTTGTTGTGTATTAGTTTAAACCACAAAATGGCACACTTGCAGAAGATCACCAGTAAGTCTAAAAGTCTGGATGACAAAGATCAGTGTAGAAGATCACTGCTGCACCAGAATAAGGACATTGGAATAGTATGGGCTTCCTGTAGTTTCTTGAGGGCCATGTCAGATGGCATCACTAATAGACCACTTATTTCTCATTTTGGTTCTACTAGGGATGCACCGATACCAAGTACAGTACTCGGTACAAGTACCGGTACATTTCGAGCTCCAAGACTAACTAGAGAAAAACTCAAAAGTTAGGAGGCAGCTGTCATGTGTAAGGAGCACACGGAGCTCCTGGGATTTGTACATCTCTGTTTTAATGTATGATTTTGTTTTTATAAAGAAAGGGATGCACTGATGCCAGTTTTGCGCGTACAAATACTGGTACTTGCCCAAGTACTTACAAGTACTGATACATTTTTGTTTATTGTCATGTGACAGTTTTTTTCTGAAAACAATACAGACTAATGATTTCAGGACAGTGGTGGAGCGCCAGAGCCAGGTCCCAGCTGCAACCTTGGTAGTTCTCGTGAAAATGGCAAGTATCGGCATTGGTACTCGAAAAGTATCGGTGCATCCCTAGGTTCTACCCATCACATGCTGGACCAGCATTTTTGCTGTACCCTTGCTAGCGAGTGAGATTCAGCAGCATTCCTGGCCAGCTAGAGAGCAACAACCATTAGGTAAAGCGACTGTCCCACCACTGGGTGGCATTCGCCTGACATGTCCCTTGAATACTGAAGGTCATTTAAAATGACTTGCAGCTGAATACAAGGCAATTTCTGGTCTTTGCATATTTTTCTTCTACCAAAGTGCATTTTTTCGAAGTGTATTTTATTATAGAGATGTGTACATTTTGCTATTTCATAAGATATACAATTGGCAAGATTTAATAATTCTACTAAGCTGCCTGAGCACTTTCATTACTGCCCCACCCATTCTCCTTTCCTCTGTGATTATAATCGTTTCAATCTTATGGCAGAGCATAAATTAAGTTCACAATAGGCCAGATGTGTTCAGTTTTTTCAGATTGACAAGGCAGATCTAAATATGATCGGTGGCTGAAGGACATAGGCCTAGTTCTTATTAAAATATTCAAGCCTGATGTTCTATTCTTATATGTATGGAAGTGGGAAATGTGCATTGTTAGTGGTACCTGTGGACTGGTCATGGTAATTGACACACAATCTATTTTGACATGAATACAAAATACAACTGCAAACTTGGGTTTCAGTTACAACTTTATTCATCAATATAAATATCATGTATGGTTTTCTTACTAAAACTCTTACATCTATGACTTTTGCAGTGGCATTGACTAAGACGGTGCTGCCATTTAGTAGATCTGATGCACTGATCTTTCTTTAGTTTACTAAACTCAGAATTCAAAAGGATTCCGAGGCTAAGGTACAGTATCTGAAGGTGGCATAGTCCAGAATAGAAAAACTGACTAATGTGAGACCATGCTCTTTCATAAATGGTTAACACTGGTACAAAAGATTAAATTCAAAAAGCTAAGGTAGATGGAACTGGGTACAAAATATGGCATTAGAAGTTCTCAGATACGTGCAATGAATATAGGAAGTGTTAAGTGCCATTGATAACCCAAATCGAACGCCCCTCCCTCAAAAATCCCCAATATTTATGAGGACCTATAAAAAACATTACACAGGAAAAGGCGACAACCAACAGTGCGTACCCAGACTGGATTTGTTCCCCGAATAGCATTAGGATCTATGTTTAAAAGAAATTGTTACTGCATCCTGAAGGCAGCATGTATAATCGTCACCACAAAGATGATAATTCTCTCCAATGCAGCTTTAACAGATTGCTGACCACTCCAAAAATGACTTTGGTATTTAGGCTGCATTCGGCAATAAGCAAATAATCAAACCGTACTGATACCTGCATTCACAAGCAAAAAAATGATCAATCTGGAGACAAGCACATGGTGCCTGGCCATTACTGGGGTCGGGCAAGTTAAATAAAACCCAAAAATAACACTACAAAAATCCCAGCTACACTCTAGATGACAGTACTTTAGACCTCAACATCTACCTCCCTAAAAGTCCCAAATTAGAAAGACACTTCTTAAACCCACTACGGATGAAATCTGGGTAACTCAGTCATAAAAAAACAAAAAGTTGTTCTTTATCTCAAAACGCAGTAAAAAGAACACAAAAGTGGTTATAAATAATACACACTTTGGGAGCAAATAAGCACACCCCCCCTCCTCCTCCTCAGCTTTCTGGTAGTGCGAGTTTTCTAAATATCCTGTTTAGGTTCCATCCACACCAGCAAGCTTCAAAAAAGCAGGCAAGATTCCCAGTGTTATGAGGTGGTGCCCTGAGCAGCAAAAGTCTCCCTTTACTGCTCAATCTGGTCAGCTCCTCAAAACGGAATCATGCAATGCTTTCTGCTATAGTACGCAGTAGCATTAAATTCCATAAAAAGAAGATAGGATATAGAAATGGATGGTTTTCCTTCATGCTCCTTCTACAAATTCTCAAGGCATGGAAATGGCATTATTGCCAACGGAGCCTTTGGATATTAAAACAGTTTTCAACTGGACAGCAAATTCCCTAGCATTTGTCAGCACAAGTATTATGTCGTTCCTAGTAAAATAAAAAGAAGTAGCAGTTACATCAAACTCAAGACTCCAAAAAATGGAGTCTGAAGTACTCAATATATTCATTGAAGCAATGTGATATATATATATACTGTACTCTTAGAAAACATCATCACCAATATAATATGTATTTCTTCAATAGAAGAACATATTTTGGCTCATTCTGAGTTTCACAAGAAGTAAATTTGCTGCAAATAAAAAAAATACACAGTATAAAAACAAAAAAAACTCAAAAATAAATTAGCAACCTAAAAACACAACACAAAAAAGAAAAATTTATTCTTGGCATCAGCTCCCTGACGTAGAGTTGGCACAGATAGTTTTTGACAACCTGTATGTATGATATGTAAAAATGTTTTTGTATATATTATACAATGACGATGCCATAGAATAAATTATACCATTACAAATGATATGGGAGACGGGGGTTATCTGTACATTCTGTACCACAGTTGCCAAGACTGAACTTAAAAACATACACATCCCTTTTCTCTCAGTGTTCAGAATTAACCCCTAACGAAAGGCCGTAAGCTCACAAAACCATTATAACAGTTTACAGTCATAGCTGGCCATAAAGTTATAAGCAGTTCCTTCATTTTACATTAGGCTTAAACTTTTTTTTAAAATTCTAATATTTACATGTGTTTGTCATGCAAAGGCCTTTATTTAATAAACTGCAAAGAACAGCAGTGCCCATCACTTCATGCCAACCAATCCAAATCAGCTTTTGCTAGCCTGAGCTGAAAGATGAATTTTGAATGGTTGAGGTTACAGTGTATCGCTGCTCTTTGCGCTATTAAAAAAAAAAAGACACAATGTTAAAAAAAAAATACATTAATACAGTAAAGACATGCAAAGATGTAAAACAGAGGTCATTAAAAATAGTTGGAGCAATTTTACATCAATCCATTATGTGTATACATAAATGTATCTACACATATATACACACAAAAATTACCAATGTATTTACACAAACCAAACTGATATATACATAAACATATACACCTGTCAAATACAAAAAAAAAAAACAATAAAAAAAAGGCCTGTTTTTTTTTTTTTTTAAGGCCATAAATGAAAAAAAAAAAAAGCAGTATATCGGTGCAAAAATAGAAAGCAAAACCTGTGATGAACTAAATTCACTGCACAGTGGAGTGAAAGGTGGAAGTGTAGAGCATTTGGTGAGACAAGGCTTGCATTAGGAGCAGTCTTCTGCTGTAAACATTGATATAGCAGCTGCTGGCTTGAGACGTAATGCATGGTCACACATTCAGAGAATTGGAATTTGATATCGGTCACTAGTATCACGTAGAAGGTGGTCCATCAGTTTCATAGCAATATTGTTCCTCTTCTGATAGGCATCCCATTGACGTTGGACAGTGAGCATTCCCATTAGTAGTCTTTCACCGGAGCCAGCTCTGGCACAAGGTTTACAGTGATGTTTTTATACAACTTGTCTATAATTATATTTGGGGCATATATTAAATTATTTAACCCATCAAGATACTGACGTTCTTTAGAATATCGTAGCAATTTGTATCTGCAGGGAGTAAAGAAACAGTTCAGCATCAGCAGTCTTACTCTCTCATCTTATTTCATTATCGAAAATAGTGCATGCAAAATTCACAGAGCTCCTAGACTGTTCACAGCAGCTACTGCCTCAAGAGTTGCTTAGAGCCTTGGCTCTCAACTGGTGGGTCGTGACCCAAAATTGGGCCGCGACCCTGTGTTCAGTGGGTCACTGCATGCCTTCCACTTTTCTAGGCGAGAGGCTTCTCAACCTCCTCCTAGCACAGCACTGTCAATTCTCGTGCTGAGCAGCCACCTGGTGTGCAAAGTGCGATTCATTTGAATGGCACCCCAAACGCACCTCCCGCCCACAGTTCAATCACCCGCACAAGGATGCGTGGTACCACAATGCCGTGCGTTCCATTGCAGTTCGACTTGGGTCGCGACTTAATGACTGAGGACATATGTGGGTCCTGAGGTTACACAGGTTGAGAACCACTGGCTTAGAGGGTAACTGTACATATATAAAGTATAAACTCCCCCAAGCTACACTATGTTAGCATTCCATCCTCAGGAAGTTGCTTTATATACCTCATATCCAGCACTGCGGCCTCTTTCAGCGTTTACGTCCTGTCTGGTGAAAATCTGCCATGCAAGCACACTGCGATAGGCTTGAATGGGCCATACGCTGAGACTCAGCATACAGCTCAATTGAAGCCTATGAAGGCAGTGGCCAGCGCTGAGAAGGCTGTGGATTTAGGCAAAGTTAATATAAAGCTGCAGCTGCCTTTTATTATCCAAATGTGATCTAGGGGAAAATTAGACAGAAGCAGATTAGCACACCAGTCTGTTATGGGTTGAGCTGAGGAAACTGCAACCGACCTCCTAGGACACTTAGGAAACGAAGGCCGCACGTCTTTGTACGGGGTTATACGGGGGCTGGCTTTTATTGGGCGTTTTGTTTTGGGGGGGGGGTTGCTAGTGTTCACCCCCTTAAGACAGCTGCATAACCCCAGACATCTATGATTACTACTTCTGTGTCACTCAATGGACAATAAATTAAACAAACACAGCCCTGTGGAAGCTGAAGTCAGATTTCCAGTCAGAGCTTACACAGGGCTGACTGACTGTCTCCCGACCTGCATGGGACAGTAATGGGCCAATCAACAAGCACTGGTGGGGTCACATAAGGCGAGCCACACAATCCTCCATAGTAAGAGGCTAAACTCTCCGGAGCAGCAGGGGATTAAAGAACGAATGAACATGTGCTGCTAAGGGAGAAGCCTTTACATGGGAAAAGCACAGTTTCACTTTAAAGCAAAACCTTCAAGCCATTATGATATTGCAAGCTATGGCAGTGAAGCCATCAACTTTGAAAATAGTATTTAATGACAATTTTATTCAGCATGCACTGGCTCATGAAGCATTCAATGTACCCTGGCTACATGTTGTTTGTTATGGAGAAATCAGCTTTACATCCCAAATAAAGTGACCAGAGTACACTTACCGTCCCAAGAATTGGACCTCTCCTCTGTGATGGTGAGGAATCGACCTGTACTTCCCAAGGTCTCCATCAGGTCTTGATACATTGAAGCCACCATAATGCACCCTTGAAATAGCAATAAACAGCAACAATCAGGGAAAGAAGGCCAAGCAAGCGAATAGAACAGCTAAGGAACCAAAGTATCATTAGTAGACTATGCAATGTGTATTTTTTAACATGATAATGTCAAGGTAGATATCCTGCTTTTGGGCTGGTGGGAAACCTACCTGTTCCACAAATCATCGTCTTCACCTCCCCATCCCCAGAATGCGTTGGGAAATCCATTGATCTTTCTAAACTGCTCCACAGTTAAACCACTCACTCCTCCGAAGAACTCGTCGTATGGTAGACTGATGGGAGAGAAGAAATTCAAGAATTAGAGGGTCCAGTAGGTGTCCAGCCTGACTGCATTTCAAAGAATAAACCATCCAAGACTGTATTTTTTTTTCGCTAAACATACCAACTACCCAAGCTAGTTTATTTTGTAACGTATAATGTATTAAGTCTTACCATACGCTTGAAACTGAATGCTCATAAGAAAAACAAAAGAGACTTGAATCAACATGTGATTCTTATACAGCTTTTTTCCTTTAATATGTAATATCATGTGTGCTAGGTTTCTAAAGAATACAGTTGTTGGGATAAGGTCTCAGTGATCCTAATTAAAAAAGGTCTGCCAGGAGAACTGTGAACCCCCTCACTGTATTAGACAATCCTGTATTATGACATAGGGCAGATCCTTTCTTGTATCTCCTGGGTTTTCATGGGGAAGAAATGTTCCAGTGCAGATTTTCCTTGTAGCTTCACCTGGTGGTAGATCTAGTAATGCACCAGCATAAGTGAAATGGAACGACTTCATACTAAAATGCTAAATGTAGTTTAGTTTCATGGTAATACACGGGGGCCAATTAAAAGAAGCCCCTTCTTCCCTTTGGTCATTTTACACAAGTAGAAAAACAATAAATAGGAAATTAACCCAACAGCAATTTTAAGCAGGCAATTCTAGAGGCGATTTCCAGTTGACACAGAAGTAGCAAAAAGACTGTTTGCATCTCTCTAACACCATTACAGTGTAATGGCTTTCCATTTTCCCGATTACCAATAATAAAGATGCCCTGTCATATGGCAAAGACTTGGTGTGAATAGCCCATCTTGGAAGCAGCCATGATTCAAGTACTACAGAGTTCAGTGATTCAGCCTTTCTACCACAGAACTAGTGGCCCCCGAGTATGGGAAAGGCTTCTACCACCATTTCCAGGTGTAATCACAATTGTTTTGTTTCCTAACATATACTCTCAGAATGGCATTTGTCCTGAATCATGATATCTACGTGCAAAGTCCCTGATGGAAAAGTCTATTTGCTGACTCCTGACAAAATAACACTTCTGGGGTTAGCAAAGCGGAGTCTGTTTAACTGCACTGTGACTGATGTGGTGCCCCAGGGGTCCGATAAAATGCTTTAGGACAAATTCCTCTTAACCATCTACCTTCTAAACACGTAGGAGTGGATTATTGCATATATCATTGTAAAATTCAATAATAAAACCAATGAATCGGCAAAAATGGGGAGAGAAAACCAATGCTGGATGAGTTTTCATTTTCTAACCTGCCCTGTGGAAATTATGAAAAACAACTCAGGTTCAATGGAAGTGATATTAAAGTGAAAAGGTTTTTTATGCCATTACATCACATACAACCGATGCTGCTCCTTCATGCCTAAAAGTTTTAATCTCCTGCAGAATCAGCTGGTTTCCTGAGCACTGGTCCTGATATTCTGTTTTAGGGTGGCTCCTTTCCAGTGCAGGGTCCTATGGAGCCTTGTGTGTGCTAGTAAGCTGTGTGCATGTCCACAAACAAAGAAAGGTAAGCCACAGCCATGCTCCCTACTCCCCTTTAACCCCTTCCCCAAGCAAGTAGATTGACAGCTGCTGCAGATTACTCTGTCCCTTGTGATCCTGTACTGGACAGCAAGTTAAGGGTTGCAGAGCTAATAACACATCATTCTACTTAAATAAGTTTCAGTGTTCTAGCCCAGTGTTGTCATCTTGCTACATAAGCAATCTATTGGAAATCGAATCAATTGATGACCTTCCGGGAAACGGGCTCGCCAAAAGTAACGTCTGATTAAAGCTCTTTCATACCAATACAGCCAATGAGTATATCATCCCAGTATTGGAGTTATGGTTAGGTTAGCAGTGTATGAGTAACCAGCACTAATGAAATAGCACAGGCTAATGGAAGGGCCAGTAAAGGAAATACTTGATAGCAACACAAGTTGGCTTCTTCTTGGCTCTTCCAGTGCACATCTTTGGCAACAAAGCAACCGTAAACAGTGATAACAATGTTGTGGAGACACAATAAAATCCAGTAAAAGGAATTTATAACAGAGCTACAATAGAGCTTTCAACAGAAGCCACACTCTTATGTACATTGGCACAGAGTAGCAATTTTTTTATAGCATTCAGTACACTGAAATCATAGACAAAAATACTGGCACTTTTAATGGAAACCATAAAGTCATATGACTAATTCCAGGGAGTGCCTTCTGTACAGGGGCTCTGGCTAAATTTAACACTTTTACTGCTCCGTTAAATCCTTTAGTATGAAGAGTTGACGGCTGTCATACTTCCATACACATAGAAGAAGGAACAATTTCACAGTCACCAAGAAGCTGTGAAGATCTGGAGAGACAACATATAATAATCTGCCCCATTTATTGAAATGTTTATAAAGCATCTACAGAAACAAGATTCCTCTCTCCATGTCTCAAGTAGAACATTCCCATAGACACACTCCTAAACCTTGTGAACGCCTTCCCAGAAGAGTTGAAGCTGTTATAGCGGCAGCGGGTGGGCCAACTCAATATTGAACCCTACAGATGAAGACTGGGATGCCAGTAAAGTTCATGTGTGTGTAAAGGCAGGCGCCCCTATACTTTTGGCAATATAGTGTATATGTAAATACATAAGAATTTGACCTCTGTTTTAAGTTGTTATCGTGGACTCTCACTTTAACCCTTTCAATGTCATAAGGCTTATGCCAGCGGCAGCAGGGACCTTGTTTACATTCCTTCTGCAGACTGACAGCTTTCTGTTAGCAGGGACTTGGGTTCTGTAAAGCTTGATTATTTCTACAGCCTGTTGAAAGTGTCAGTCCCCTTCATTTATCCCAGGCTCTGCTGCCCCTCCTGGGTGCCTGGGATGTTCATGGCAGGAGTCAGTGAGGAGGGCAGGGGACGATCAGCAAATCATTCATTAGCTCATCGTCCATGCAGTCAATGAAGCAATAGGCTGTTCATCACTTCCTGTTTCAGGAATGTCATTAAAATGAACCAATAAAACAAACATCTTAAGCCCCCCATAAATAAGCATACGCGTTGGCTGCACCTATTTCAGAAAACAGTGATTGCGCCACATATGTTAAGCATCGACCGACAAACTGGAGTGAAAGCAATATTTCTAGAGCCATCATTGGATACTGTAGCTTGCTGCCATTTCAATTTTAAGTCTTGATTTGATACTGGTCAGTTGAAACACTAAATGATACCTTATATCATTTGATTCAACATCTCACATACACATGCTATACACAGCTTTTGCTACAATTGCAATCCACTAAGGGTTATCACTAACACTGATCTTATTTGTACACATACACTTATGAACTGCAATTTTATGTTACAGCAGATTGTAGCAAAATTGTAGCAACTTCTTTCACAGGCACTAATACTATTGTTGAAAATCAAAACACTCTACAGACTAGACTAAGGGATGTTCCGATTGGAATATACCCACTAAATGACTGGCTCACGTCAACTGCCAAAGGCAAATACGTACACTTTCAATCATATATAAAAATAAAAATATATTTAGATGAGAAGCAAAAATGTCGAGATATATAGGAATTTAGGCCCATGATTACAATTTTTAGAACTATCCTATCCTCTCTATTCAATAGGTGGAGTGATCAGGACAACTACGTCACTGAATTGAGGCCACTGCTTACTATATGCCTCCTATAGAAACCATCCCAGCAGGGTAAACTGGGCCATCTTGCTATTCCCAGGAGCTCCGCCCCCTGATGCCCCAGGATCCCAGGCACAACGAAGGATGGGATGTGGTGGTTGGCTGTTTCCCAGCCACCCAAGTATCTCGATCCTCCTCACAATTGGTTTTATCTCAGGCACTGCCTATGCATGACAACTAATTATCGATCCCCTAAAGAAGCTATAATTGCGAAACGCGTTGAGCTTACTAGGACAATCATGTCAGCTATGCACTTAAATATGGAACACTAAGGACCATTGGGTTAATCATGTTAGTTAGAGGTTTGATAAACAATTGTGCTAATATTATGGGACATAAACACAATTGCAGCTCACACCATTTTATTCTCCAGGGTCTCTACATTTATAAATATCTATGAAATATATCATTTTGGGGGTTTAACGTAATCTTCAGGCCTAAAATGTGCATGTTATCACACGTGCAATGAAAACTGGGGGCGGTTTGGGGGAAAGGGTTCGGGCAGCGAAAGGGGTAAAATAAGCTCTAGATGCCACGCTGCTACAAGACAATATAGAAAAGACAATATTTTTTTGATAAACATAACTTAGTGTTATGTTAAGACCCCCCAAAAAACCTTCAACTTACATGTACATGTATTTGTCAAGTTTCGTTGCAAAATGGCGTGGCATTTCTCCACAACCATAATAATTTCTGTCGCTTTCAGGAATGTGATCTACATCGTGGAAGACGACACAGTCCCATTTTCGATCCTTCATGGCTTCTTTAAACCCAACATTAAACAGCATTGCTCGATTAAATGTTTGAGTGCCAGCCTGTAAAGGAAGAATAAAAAAGATTTAGAGAGACTTACGTTTTACCACGGCCGACACACAGGGAAAACATTTTATTTCTAGTTATACAAACATGTTACAGCGTACTGCCACACAAACCTGGACGTGGGACTTTGTAACTAGATTCACCGCTACAGACAGGCAAGTTCTTGAAAAATCAATTCATCAAACCATTGGATTGCTAGGTGTATGGCCATCATAACAGCCCATCAAACAGACAATGCGCCAGTGATTGATGGAAAACTACGTGATAGAGCCACAATGACCCCCAGGGAAGCTACCAGTAATTTGACAGATCCCATTCCAACTAACATTGGCTGTAAAACTCATCTGTCACAGCAGACAGAGAGCAGATGGGACCATTACAAACAATCTGTTGCTTAAAAATAGTAGACAACCCACAATACTGACAGGACTAGATCTGTGCACATTAAAGAACTCTGGGTATTTTTTTTTTTATTATTAACCCTTACAGTGGGGCTACACCTCACACTGCAAGGGTCAACTGCTTGTTTTGGTCTAGTGCTGAAAATAAAAAAGATATTATACTCACCTGATCCTCAGAGCCGGCCTGCTGGGACAGCACTCGCTGAAGCAGCAATGGACTCTCCCTTGGTGTCCTCACGTCCAATACACTGTATATAGAATATGATGATTCACAGGACCTTAGACCACTGCAAAGGAGGGGTAGAGAGGCTGAAGGGACCGGTCTAGGAGCAAGCTGGCTCAGTGGATCAGGGTGAGTATAACTTTGTTATTTTTAGTACTAGACCAAAACGAGCAGTTAACCCTTGCAGTGTGGGGTTAGCCTCACTGCAAAGGTTAATGAAAGAAAAAAAGTTCTTCTTTTACTAGAGGTATTATAAAACCAATTATTGTGCAATCATTACACATATTACATGTATTTCTTTAAAATGGTATCCACCACATGGCAGAATGTCCTGTTCCCGTAACAAGTGCTGATTGAGGTTCTCAAAATGACTTCAGTGAATATCTCTACAGCTAAACCTACACCCAAACATCATTGAAGGAATGGGGCCAATGTCAAGTATTGCTGCATTTGGATGCGATTTATGCCCACGAATGTAAGGCCAGGGAAACCAACATCCGCCCATGCCGAGCAGTCAAAAGGAGTGTCAAAAAAACTTGCACGCTACAAAATTGCATAATGTCAACATAACATCTAAAAACATAACCTGTATTTCAGCATAAACAGGTTTTTAGTCTACAGCTGACTTCTGATAAATACATCATCACTTCCAGCTCTCCACTTACTCCTCTACACACATGTGTCGGGAGCATGATGCCTTCCATTGTTCTGAAGGTATTTCTCAGAGTTCATGTTACACATAATGCCCACCTGCTGTTCTACAAGTGCAGTCAACACAAACGAGGAACCAAACACACACACCGTTGTGACGACAGCAGAAATATCTGCAAGTCTACTAACACAAGGCAAAAATTGCAAGTGGTGTTCTAAAACGTGACCTAGCAATCTACAACCAGCCACATTCACAATGCTTTTTGCAGCCCTTCATTAAACAGGCTTGTATATATTCATTTTTGGATGGAAGGTGCTATCTGGTCCCATCTAGGATCACGCACCTTCTGCCCACGTACCCTAGTCATTGCATTAGGGGGTGAAGCATAGACAGTGATGTCATGCATATCTTGTGGTCCCGTCCCTTTGTTATTCGTTTTTTGGATGAAAATATATAGACTTATTCTTTATCATTTCATGTCAACATTCGGAGGGAACCCTGGCATGCTCTACTCCATCATAACGACGATTGCTTAAATCGCTCTCAACAAAGGCTAGTGGACTTCATATTTCTAACAGCTAAGCAAACTATTGCTCACTCCCCAAAAAAACAAACTACTCCGTATGAAGATTTTAAACAACGCATGCAAGGCCTCTTCGTGAATGAACAACTTTCTGGCATCCTCACTTAAAAAACCGTAAAAAAGGTTCGGACACCATGGATCCCCCTCTAGCCCTTCCTGGTTTAGACCACTCAATATTCTCTCTCCTGTATTGACACATCTGTATACACACCCCTTTCTTACTTACATCCGGGGCTGCTGCTCTCCTTCCTTTCTACCTCTAACTTTTTATATCTTCATCTTCTATCCAACATGCCTTGTTCTACTCACAATATCTCTGTGAATGCCTCCCTCTTGATGCTCATGGAGGTATGTTTGGCATTTGCATCACTACACACTTGAGTCTTCCATTCTATTCCTGGTTTAATCCCTTAATTGATGATGCCTCTTATCACGATGATTAGTTGTTTGTTGCCATCTATTAATCTGTGCTTTGTATTTTGCAAACTTCAATAAACATAGTGAAATGGAATATTGTTTAAAGCAGTGGTTCTCAACTCATGGGTCGCGACCCAAAAGTGGGTCGCGAGCCCTTCTGCAGTGGGTCGCGGCGCCATCACGGCAATCACGGGTCGCGGCGCAATCACGGCAATCACGGGTCGAGGCACAATCACGGCAGGGATGTATTAATGAATAGAAAGGCTGCCGGGATTTGCT